GAAGGGTGCGGGGTGCAGCAGGGGGCTCAGGGCAGGGGGTTGGGGTGCAGGAAGGGTTTGGCATGCGGGCTCCAGCCCAGCGCCACTTACCTGGAGCGGCTCCAGGGTGGCAGCAGTGCGCAGCGGGGCTAAGGCAGGCTCCTGGCCAATGGGAGCTGCAGAGGGCGGTGCCTTCAGGCGAGGGCAGCGCGCGGAGCACTCTGCCTCCCCGGGACCAGGGAGCCAGCCGCTTCCGGAAGCGGCACGGGGCTAGCAATCCTGCGGGCCGGATCCAAAGTCCTGACAGGCCGGATCCATCCCGCGGGCTGTAGTTTGCCCACCCCTGAGCTAAAGCATTGTTACCACTTAAAAAGAGATCAGGCATTCCTCATACATATAGTGAGAATACTGCTGGAACCACTAATATCTTTTACAGGGCAAAACCATTTAAACTATGATACACAATAAATAAAATAGCAATGGAGCAGATTCATCTGTAGTTAGCCATCGATGGCTGTAACTAAGGCAAACTTTCAATGTAGACAATGCTTTATACCCTGTGTAACCTCATTGACTTTCAATGGGGAATTTGGTCCCATTTGACTTGACCAGATTAGATTTCCCCAAGTTTTTGAAAGGAGAGCAAGTTGATCATTGATATTCTCACTTAACAAAGTGTTACAGCTAAATATCTACCTACTCTTCTTCCTGGTGACATTTAAATTGGAAACTGTTATTGTCCTTGTAGCTATTAATATCTGTATCAAATACAGATCTAAACAGTACCCTTAGTGTTATCTCCTTTTGTGCCCAGTCCAGCATCCACTGAAGTGAGAGATGGCCACTGACTTCAGCTGGAGTTGGAACAGGATTCTCAATGGATTGGGGCATAAGGTTTTGTTTCAGAACTATGATTCTTTATCCATTCTTTGAAAAGTCTCAAACCAAGTAGTGAAAGTTTCCCAGAAAGATTTAAATGCTATAATTTTTTAAAAATAGTATTACAAAAAGGCTGATGTTCTGAACAAAATTCTCATAATGTGTATGATTTGATGTTTTCCAGTCTGTGTGTCGCTCACTTTTGATTACTCAATTAATGTAAATATACAACAAAGTAACTCACTATTTTCATAGGCAGTGTACCATAAATCTAGCCTCCTTTGAATTTTTTTTGCAAGCAATGCCAAAAAAGTTACAAACAATTAATAATACCTCCCTGTCTTTCATGGTAGCTTTTTCTTGTGTTTCATGTGACTATTCAATACTAGATTAATGCTTTTGAAAGAACTCTGTCTTTGAGATTTCATTCTTAAAATACTGTACTGTCAAATCATTGACCAATAAACCATCATAGCAAAGACCAAAGATGGAGCTTCCTAGACTCTAAAAAGTGAAGTGACAAACAAAACTGGTATCATCAGAAGGGTCAGTCTTTGACAGCATATTCTCAGAAGAAAACAAATTATTCAAATTATTTCAGTCATATACTACAATGTAATATAGTTTAAGTCAGACTTGAGCACCCACCATTTGGGGACAGATTTTTAAGACATCTCAGCTCCCCTTCAGAAACCTAAATGAAGTGACCAGATTTTCCAGAGTACTTAGCACCCAGCAGCTCCCATTACGTGGCCTAAAAATGCAACTCTACAAATTTGGCCCATTATTATAACTTAACCTGTTTTGATACATCCAATCATTTCATTAAAGCAGAGGCAGTTATTACTTAATGGCAGAACATAGACATTTTGGGAAGAGCGTTATATGTTATCAAATTTATAATAGCTGCATCCTAATGGCATTTGATAAATAATAAATCATAGTAAGACCTGCAAATGTGAAAATGAAATATCAAAAAGTAAAGTTGGCATGTATTTAGCTTAAAACTGATCAAAATATACTTATGATGTCAGACTTAACATGTGTACTCAGCTTTCACTGCTGGGTCTACTTGGTTTCTTCTGAAATGTATTATCTAAGAATTCTCATTTACAAGAGACTGCTTATAATGACACTTTAGCTTCTCTGTGGTTAGCTGCTTGGTATAACCTGCTATGTTATTTTTTTTTCTGTTCCCTGAATCTGTTTTCCTCTTGCTTCCCAGAGGACTATCTGGAGGACAATGCAACATGGTGTAAGCTTTGGTATTCTTATTCTTCACTTTCATACCCATTTGTCTTGTAAAATATTGCCAAACTACTACTTCTAGTTTCATCTCTACCATTTTTCTTTGTTTATCTGTAGACTAAATACAAGCCATGTCTTTCATAATTTTAAATAGGCTAATTGAATTCTGAGTCGTGCTTAGAGTTTATAGTTCTTTTCCACACCATTCATCTGTTCTGAAGGTGGTTTCTGATCTCAGTGAAGGAGTGTTATCTATCAATGACAGCAAAGGGGACAAGATGTCAGGAGTCCTGGCGTTCTAGTCCTGGATAGACCATAGTCTTCCTATGTGCCCTTAGACAAGCCACTTAGCCTCTCTATTTGATTTGCCCATCTGTACAATGGGTTTAATAATTTTTACTATTTCACAGAGGTGATCAATGTTTGTGAAGTGCTTTGAGACCCTTGGATAAAAAGCAAAGGCTGTTCTCAGCAGAGGGCCTTAAGTCATCA